ATAACATCTCCTCTCTATAGCATCTTTTTACAATCCATCTCGAAAGTTCCTACTCTTGTAATTTTCAGGGCTCAATCTGTCTGCAATTTATTCATTCACTTTTACCGTTACTCACTAGATTAGTTCAATTCCGTGTTGCAGGGCTGCTAAGATCTGCCAGAAGATGCTGTCTTTCCTCGATAAGCAAATTAAAATGGACTCTGCAGAAGATGGTGGGGTATTTTATGCAATTTTTTTCTTGAATGTGGATAGATATCTACAATTCACGCGATTCCTATTCAGCCGAATCGGTAGCAAAGCAGATTGAAGAGTTCGATCAGTTGAAGACGTTGGAGTTAAGAGGGAACACAGTCGGTGTTGAAGCTGGTCAGAGACTCGCCCAGGCCCTGGAAATGCACCCAGAGCTGGAAGTGGGTTGCAGTATTTCACTCTCAGTTTCCTTTCTGCTATAATCGTTTCCTCTCAAGGCGCTGACGTAGTGGGGGTAGGGACAGGCGGACCACTCGCCACCCCTGTGTATCCATTCCTTTAATCAAAGCTCACTTGAACACTAAAGCTACGTTTCTTTACACGGCTCTCATTCGGCAATCTGCTCTTCAGCGCTGCATCCTATGCCTTTTCGGGCAGGAGATACAAAGGCGCAGCCAAGTGGTTCCCTCTCCCCCTCCCCCAACTTCTTTAGCGTCTCCAATGCGCTATTTACAAGAGTGTGAAATCTGATTATTGATCTGAGTTCGCTTTTCCATTTGGTTTAGGGAACATGTACCTGACCACTGATATTTCGCCACTATGATTTGTGGACTTTTAGGTCCAAAGGTGATCTCCTAAATAAGAATTGGCGTACCAATTGAGAAAGAACCTGAAAATACCGTCTAGAATGCTCTAAATTAGGGCAGTATTCCAAAAGCGAGGCACTGCTGGATGGGGAGAAGCCGAAGACAGGAATGGAGCAACCACAAGACGGGAGGCGACGAAGGTCGGGCACAGAATGAACGCAGCATGTCCGTGTCTATATTTATAGGTATAGGACAGTGGGTGTATTTCGTCCCAGAATGGGTGGTGTACTTTCTAAGGGTAGCGCGCCTTCGGTTGAAATCAGCTGCGGCCGCATCTTACACAGGGACTGGCCCAGCAGTCATCGTCATTGCAAGCCAGGTCACATCCAAGTGTTGCTACAGTAATTTTGAGTGGAAGTGAAATGCTTGGCGCTTCAGTAAAACTAATTAACTAATGACCAGCTCTTTGTCCCTTTCCATACAGTCACTGCTCTCCGTCAGTTCAAAATTTCGATGTATGTTTTTTTCAGAGATGTCTCTGGAGCGACATGTTCACCGGGCGATTGAAATCCGAAATTCCTCCCATTTTAGTGAGTTTTGCTTAGCTCTTTTCTCCTTCCTAGAACCTTCCCTTGCTATTCATTCTTCTTCTTCTAGCGTTCAATGTGTTCTGCGATTATGAACGCCAATTGCCATATAACAGAGTTGGATTTATCCGACAACGCGTTTGGGCCGATTGGAGCAGAAGGCGAGTTTTCCACTGGGAACCTGTCTCGGGTTTGAGTTCCTTTTATTTGTTCTTTTGATCAAAGGCTTCTCTTCGTCGTGATTCGATTGATTTTGATTCTTTTGTTCTAAGTTCAGTTGAGTTTTTCAAGTTTGTAAATAGTCCGTTCAGGTATTTCACAGTTTTTGGTTTCAAAATCTGCGTATTCTCTTCAAGTGCTGAAGTTGAATAACAATGGTCTTGGCGCTGGAGGAAAAGTGAGTAATGCTTCATAAGGTGGCGTTACCGCACTAAGATACCGTAATCGAAAATTTCTCTATGACTGTGGTGTTTTCAGACGATTGCAAAGTGCCTGCTTGAAGTGCCACAGAAATGCCTCTAAAGATGGCCACGAGTTCAAGCTGAAAACATTCATTGCTGGAAGAAATCGTCTGGAGGATCCTGGAGCTAAAGCATTAGCAGAAGCTTTCACGGTAGTTCAGTCATTCTTGCATCACTTCTTTTGCATTTGCTATAAATGTGTGTGAAGCAGGCGAAAGTAAGCCTTCTTTCTTCAAAGGCACATTCCGCGATCACCTAAGGGCGGAGGCTCAAATCTGTCTTCTTGATTGGCGTGCACTATCTAGCGTATAAGAGGCGTACTAGTCTGAAGACGCAATATAATAAGTCGCCACCCATTCCTGGGATAAACCCTTCGATTTCAGGTGTAATATGTGGGGAATGCCTTTACTTTTCCAGGTTCTTGGCTCTATCGAGAAAGTCGCTATACCGTTTTTTTTCTTTTAGGATTTTTTTTGCGGAGCGGCTTTTTTGCCAATCTTGCGTGAAGCGCCCACCGCAAATATTCCGCACACAACAGACTCCATTACATGCCCCGCCCTCAGATAACTCGGCCCCTTTATGCCGCGACCGATTTAAACTCATATTAAACACATTTTATACTAGATATAGATGTTATACTAGTTTTTCACCATTTTCATATATTACACACATAGAGCCTTTAATACACTTTCGACTTTTCGATTTCAGGCGTGAAATTGGAGAATACCATTATCTTTTCAGGTCCTAGGCTCTCTCGAGGAAGTCGTTATACCGCAAAATGGTATTCCGGGCGGCAGGAATTTGTGCGCTAGCTCGTTCATTCCAATCGAATCCCTCCCTCCGAGTTATTAACATCAACGACAATACATGTACAGTTGAAGGAGCGTTGGCATTGGCTGGAGTTGGTATTCTAATTGCCTCCATCTGAGTTCAATAGCTTGATCTTCAAAGATTCCAGGTACTCGATGAGCTCACCGAACTTGAAGTCCTCGATCTTGGAGACAGCTTGTGTAGAGATGATGGGATTTTCAGCATCTGTGAAGCACTTTCAGAGCATCACTATAAGCTCAAGGTACCAAATTGTTAATGCTTTCATGTTAAGAGCTATATAAAGTAGATGAACAACATAATTTGGACTAGTTCCTCTCATGGGGCGGAGGTGATTTAGTGGCAAGTGACACCCTTATCACGCGCGCGGTCCGGAGATCAAATCTCCGGTCGAGTCTGGCCCAGGCCGTTCAAGCCTTCTACCCTTCGGGGACGGTAAATTGGTACCATTCGTGAGGATAAATAAGATTGCTGACTTGTGCTGCAGCCGGGAAATGAATTGATCGACGGCGAAGACTATCGTTTATCCTTTCATTAGCCCACCCACCCCCCTCCAGACCTCTGAGCACATCGGGTGACGAGGTCTGCTTCCTCTTGATGGAAGGCCTTCTTCACTGTTATACATTTTGTCATGATCCCTGCAAGCAACAGGGCCTTCAAAGGGACATTAATTGGAACGGAGCCAGAACGGCCCTTCCCATCGTTGCAGTCTCAGTATGGCATCATTAGTTGAGAAGGCTGCAGGCTGCTCTCCAGTCCACGCCTCCGTGGCCATCCACGCGTTTGCAGGGATAATTACTGTAGAGCTACTCATTCCTCTTACAAACAGTGGATACTATTGATTGAGGCAGCTGGTTGCCAGCGTTATCGGTGGAGGGGCTGAAGAAAGACGTCGACCAGATTGCCCAACGCTTTGTGGGGGTATGGCCGACGCCCTTCCACCTAACGCAGGCAATAAGCCACCCGCCTCCAGTAATCGTGCCCACTGCTAAATGCTTATCGAATGTTCTTTTCCGAATGCATGTGGGACGGCCTCGTGTTCGCTTGGCTCGTGGGGGAGTCGAGTAAAAGGCTCCTGGGAAACCAAAATGCCTGTGCCCCACCAGTTCCCTTGGAAGGTTGTTTACCTTCTTGTTGTTCTGCTGAATCAGATTAAGCAGCTAAACCTTGAATTCATCTTTTTGATGAGTGTTCTTTTTCAGTTTGTGGACTTCTCCGGCAACGAGTTGTCTGCAGAAACAGGCGAAGCTGTCATTGCCCAGTGGAAAGAAGTTTTCCTCGCTGGAGGCCAGAATGTGTACGTTCTTTGAATTCTCTCTCAACCCTGTGGTTCTGTGCTCGATCAGTTTTGAGTTGTGTTTTAGACAGCTGAAGATGACAAACAACTGTTTTGGATCGCAGTTCCACGATATCAAGGAGATGACTGAAAACACTCCAATCGACCTTGGCGAGAGCGAGTAAGCGGTTTTTGGTCGAGTTGTGGAGTTTCATTATAAGCATTTTCTGTGATTTAGTGATGATGAAGGGACTTTATCCGAGTGCTCTGATGAGTATGTCGAGTCAGAAGGTGACAATGAAGAGGAAGAGGAGGATGAGGACGAGGAGGAAGGTCTGATTTGTTATTGAAAAATTTCTCTTCATCTTTAAAGGTTGCCGGAAAGCTCAATTATGTGTCGCTTATAAACAGTGAGCGCGATTGTCGGATTTGGACTGTTTTGCTACTGCCATTAGTGGATTGAATCAGCGTCCTGGGCGACAAAGACAGTATAGGGATCGATCGGTGCTCAAGACGCTGACTCGCTCGAGACGCCGGTTCTCTCGAAATGCCAAATCGATACCTTATGCCGATTCTCCCAAAACGCCGAATCGCAAAGTATGAGTGCGGCTTCGAGCTCGCTTTTACTTACAAAAGCAGGCAGGGAGAGTCGGTGTTTCCTTCATTCCCCTATTACGCAAAAGCGAGGACTTATACTTATTTCACTACTTTTCTAGATGTGGTTGAAAGAGATTTCTTACTTTAACTTTTTGAAAGCGCCTTCCACTATGTAAATAGTTCCAGGTGAAGAAATGGATGGAGGTGGTGGAGACCTTAGCGATTTGCTGAACAGCATGGGTGATATGAGTTTCACGGAAACTCAAGGCAAAGGAGTTGATGATGTCGTGTCGTTTCTAAATCAGCAGCTGAAGCTCAACACTGCTCAGGACGGTTGGTACTCAGAAATCGTGCTTCCTTGATCTGTCGTAGAAAATACACTTTCCTCATGATTTCAGCTGAGCCCGTTGCTCGACAAATTGAGCGGCAAGCATGTATGAGAACGCTTGATCTCCGTGGTAACACTCTTGGTATTGAATCTGGGAATCGAATCGCTGAGGCCATCAAAAAGCACCCTGAGCTGCAGGTGATCATAGAGTTATGAGCGGGTTCGGCAAGTCTGCGCACCTGAGGCAGCGTTTAAACTTGGCGATGACGCGCGACGATGCCCTCTAGCGCAGTAACGCGCTACAGCAGCAAGAGTACTCCAATCTTATAGGTGCAAGCGCGGGAACTGGAGGGTGTGCTTTCCCTAAACACACAGCCTGGTAACGATTGGCACTAGTCGCTACGGTGGTGCCGATCGATTCCCATCTGCGGCTGCATTCGCTTCTAAAGGTTGAGCGCTTTTGCAATTGTAGCGTGTTACAGCGCGTCGGCGCGCGTCATCGCGAGGTTTGAACGCTGCCTGATTTTTCAAACTCATGTTTTTCAGAGATGCTTGTGGAGCGATTTGTTCACAGGTCGTCTGAAAAATGAAATACCTCCAATTTTGGTTAGTTTTTTTTGACGAAGTGTACTTCGTTTTGGTGGCAATACATATTTTGTGAACATTTCAGAAATCGCTTTGCTCTGCTATGATTTCTGCCAATTGCCATATCACTGAATTAGATCTTTCTGACAATGCATTTGGTCCTATTGGAGCTGAAGGTTGGCGAGATTCTTTAGTGCTATGTACTTTCCATCAAGAATTGTAGTTAGTTCAGGTATACAGGAGTTTCTTACGTCACCCGCTGCGTTTTCGTTAGAGGTGTTGAAGCTCAACAATAATGGTCTTGGAGCAGGTGGCAAGGTAGTTACCTAAATTTTTTCTTAACATTTTACCAGTCGTGCAGGTCGTTTTACGGTTGGGTAACTACCACAATGCGAGACATTAAGCACCTTCTCTCCGTAGGTGGACTATTTCCCAGTGTTTCCTTGGTCTTTCTTGATTCCTGTGGCCGTACCGTTTGATGTTATGCTATTGAACCTACCTCCATAAAGACTGTATTGCATGAGAAGTTTCTTTCTTCGGACGCTACGATCTCCTTGGTGAAATTGACGACAGATTTGCTTAGCTGCCCTATCGGGGGTGTCGAGCACAGGGCATGTCCTACATTGAGTATCCCCGAGGAGGGACTCGTATTTGGTCGCTGGAGGGATGGGGTCGTACTTGCCAAAAAAAAATTCGGTTGCTAACTTTCCACAGTTTTCCTCTTTCAAGTACGCTCTATACCCCACCCCTCTTTGCCCCCCCCCACGCCGCATTCGCTCGGTGCAG